AGACAGGCCTTTTGCCACCCGGCACGTTGCCACCATAGGCATTTTGCCACCCGGCCTTTAGCCATCCGGCCTTTTGCCGCCCTAGGCCAGTTGCCAGCCGGCCTTTGCCACCTGGCCTTCACCTAGGCCCGTTGCCACCCGACCTGTTGGCACCATAGGCCCTTTGCCACCCGGAACGTTGCCACCCAGTCCGTTGCCACCGTAGGCCCGTTACCACCCAGCCTTTTGCCATCCGGCCCGTTGCGACCCATAGTTGTATAGTAGTTTTAACATTAAAACTACATGTACAAAGTAATGTGTGAACTGAGCAATTTGTGCAAAGACACTGAAGAAGTTTTAATGTGTTGTTCTCGGTCAATGGGCTAATAGTACTAAAACATTAAACTTAATAGCTTTCTTAATTATTCTTGTCGTCATCATCACCATCATCATTACAAAAACGAATATTTTGGTACTTTGTCAGGAAAACATGTCACATATAAATAAACTAATAAAAAGTTTTATTCATATATATAAACAAAATATACTACCTTTTTTGAACCTGATCAAGTGTGATCATGATGGGACCATTATAGTTAGTACTTAGTAGGTTTGTCTGACTTGTACCATTGAGATTACTTCTCTTAATAAGTCCGACAGTAGTCCAAAATATCAACCTAACCAGAGTGTTAAATAATGAGAAAAACGTAATAACAACATTTGTTTAGAATAATAACGTTCATTAAAACACAATATGAACGTTTACACGCATATTTATTCTTTTCTACAACATAGTCATTGTCAGAACTGAACTCGCCTTGGGAACTGGTATTATACGAGATTTATTGGTCTCAATTACCATCGCTGCTCTCCTTGTACCGTATTTCAGCTAGAGGGCTGAAATGCAAGTTTACGGTAGCACACCGTCTTTCGGATGAGACGTTTAAGACCTCAATCCCATGTGCATCATGGCCCATGTGCAGGAGCTGATTTAGGGGGGGGGGGCGCGTCGCAGGCGCAGGCGGAAATCCCTTCCCCTTATATCACGAAAAAAAAACCCGCTCCGGGCTAGCCTATTTATACTCATGTTGCAAGGTTTTCTAGTGAAAAATTAGCTAGAAAAACATTTTCTTTAAGTTAAAAAAAAAAACCGGAATTTTGAGACGATTCCTGCACAGAAAGTATCACAGCCCAAAAGTACACTGTAGCTAGTTTTCAGCTCTCCACATGCAGTGAGTGTTAAACTATTGAGATGATCTCCTAGACATTCACCAACATTACAGATTGGCATGTAACGTTATCTCTCTCAACAGATGATAGTTTGATCATTCAATCTGGTAGAACATTTTAATTCAATATACTTTAATTCAATAGAACTTTTATATTCGGGGGGGGGGGCGCCTGCGACGCCCCCACCCCTTGCATCACAAAATAAAAAACCGCTCCGGGCTAGCCTATACTCATGTTGCTCGGTTGTCTAGTGAAAAAATAGCTAGAAAAACATTTTCTTGGAATGGAATTTTTGAGACGATCCCTGTCTAAATAAAGCACGATTTATTGCCATTGGGGTGAGTGACTTGAGTCCTATGCATTCAACAGCTGATTGGCTTAATTGATTTCTGGGCCCTTTGTTAAATATTAAAATGGGGATTAGATGTAAGGGGCGTACGCCCCTCCCCCTATTTTTTTTGCAAAAACTTTCACCCACAGTGTTTAACAGGCCGGCGAAACCGGGGGGGGGGGGCACTTTTTGGCAAAACATACAATAATGAGATTTTTGTATGATTGGAAAGAAATGCAAGAAATGAAAGAGGGAAGGAGGCGAAGGATGGGAAAGAGAATGTTTATCCAGTCCCCAACCGAGTTAAATTTTCTCGTGATTCACAATGGCGGATCTGGAAGAGGGGGGTCATGGTCCTGAAGCCCAGCACATTTGAGGAATATGAGTTTGTATTAAGTCAATTTTGACTATCTAGCATGGTAGTTTTCAGTAACAAATAAAACAAAAATAGGTGCATGTCTTTTAAAAGAAATGTTAATATTCAGGGTAGCCCCAATATGCAACTATAAAATGTGTCATTACAAATAATTATTCATCTACTCACAGCTGTGTAAATTCAAGGTTTTTCCCTTTTGAAAACGGTCAGGTAAATTTTTCTCATGACTTTTTTATGTGGGTTTACATACATAAACAAATTGAGTAATTGCATACGATTTTTTTTCCATGAATCAATAAAAATCAATAGAGCGAAACGGATGGAAAGAAAATGCACAGATGGAAGTAAAAGTGCACGCTGATATGTTGTTAACATCCCTCTTATCTTTAGAATGGACAAATATGTTTTTCCAGGGTTGATGGTATGGTTTCATAGATGAGGTGATATTATAATTCCTACAAATCCGGTCGAATCTATCGGAGATGCTTTTAAAGGGATGCATAATTATATTTGTTAGTCATACAAAATATTTATTGTATAGTTAATGTTTGATTCATGCTTATTTTGGTCAGATTGTTTGTTATTTCTGTATTTAATATTAATTTTTGACAACAATGAAAATAAGTTTGCCGGCTTGGTATTTCATTGTTGTTTTTTCCTTGAATATTATTTTTGTAATACGAAAGACAATGTATGGGATTGTTTCTGAATTTGTTCTTTCTCTCTTTTCCCCTATATTTCCTTTTTCATTTGTTTTCTGTGTTTTTGTAAACTCCAATTTAGGTAACCGCAACTGTTTTGAGCTTGATCAATATTTTTTTTTCCATGTTTCTTTAATATTACAGTAGTCATTTTTCAAGTTAAATGAACATATTTATATTTTTAAAAGTATATATATATACATATTATAGATATATATATAAATATACATACA